GGTCTAAGATGAACATCCTTAAGGACGACGAATTTTCCTTCTCTAGAAAAGTGTTGGAAGCCAAACGAAAAAACTTGGTTGTACAAGGCAAAGGAAATCGTCCCAATGCAACTCGCTCGCTGACAAGTGAAGAAGAAAACAAGCTTTACGACAGTGGAGCATTTGGCGTAGAAAACCCAGTATCACTTCAGAGGACCATGTGGTGGCTGTTATCGTTACATTTTGGCTTTAGAGCCCGTGATGAAAGCCGAAAGTTGTGCTGGGGAGATGTTTCTCTACAAACAGATCCAAGTCAAGAYGGCCGCGAAATGCTTGTATGRCTYAATGAGCGTGGAACAAAGACCCGAAAAGGCGACGAAAACGGTCACAGGCGTCCTTTCTCTCCCAAAGCTTATGCCACGAATACAGACAAATGCCCAGTAATGTATTACAAGTTATTTGAWCAACACAGACCYGAGGAAATGAAACGTCCAGAGTCTCCATTCTTTCTTGCTGTACGCCACGGTGAACGCAAAGTCAATCCTGAGATCTGGTACAAGAAGTCCCCTTTGGGAAAAAATGAAATCGGCAAGTTTATGAAAACTGCTGCAAGCGAAGCCGAACTTCAGAGAGATGGCTCTAAAGTCTCAAATCACAGTGTGAGGAAAACCAGCATCAGTCGTCTACTGGATGCAAATACTCCAGAGAATTTTGTGGCTYAACTAAGTGGACACAAAAACCTTCAAAGTCTGCAGTCCTACAAGTMTGCAAGCGAAACACACCAACGCCAAATGTCGTACATCTTAAGTGGCGGAATTGATGAAAACCGTCAGTTAACACAAGCCGCTAGTAGTACGAGTTTTCAGCAGTCATTATGCTTGCCGTCCTCAAGTAATCAGTTGAGTCTTCAGCAATCAACCAGCACATGTACTTCCCTTGCCGTTCAAACCTCAAACCCAAGTGCTTTAGATAGCATTTTTAGTGGAGCCAACATAAGCAAAATTTCCGACTGTCAGTTCCAGATTTTCAAAGGACCAGTCAACATTCAGCAAGGAGGGAAAAAGCGACGTTATATCATCGAGAGTGACGATGAAAATTGAACATTCTCTAAAATTACTGCAAGGTCTGCACGTGTTGACGTTTTCWATCGTCTTAATCTTGACTCTTGAACTCTTTCTACAATCATTTGGAACTTCTGAAATATTTTTTTGCAAAATTACCGTATTTTGCCAAATTAAAAGCGGTTTTGTGACATAAATTGTGTCATAATAAACACATTTTAAAACGAATTGTTGTTGTATTTTTTCGACAGCTCAACAGCTTTGCTACGGTTCACTAACCAAATGCGCGCGCAAGCGGAAGTGTTAAATCACTTCCGTTCTTTTATTTTGTTCACGTTATATATTTTATTTATTTTTTATTAAGAGAGCCATATAATAAATAACTTATTAACCTCGTCCGTTCGGTCATTACAGGGAAATCTCAGACCTCGGTCTTGTTTGTATGGACCTCGCTATCGCTCGGTCCATACTTCCAAGACCTCGGTCTGAGATTTCCCTGTAATGACCTCACTCTCGGTTAATAAGTAGTATATAATTTATTGTATGCTTGACACATTAATAATAATACGAGTAAACAATAATACGAGCGCGCAAGGTACGACGGGTGGTTATGATTCTTTAAATTGTATTTTCTAAGTTACGGGCAATTGAAGTGACTACGTACTAATGATTTAATATACAAAATCATGAAAAAGGACGTTATTCTTTTTATTTCATATAGCGCATTGCTAAAAGTATTTTCACCTCTCAGCAATTATTACTATGATTGATGATTTGAGCTGTTCAACCAAGAACAACATCACACAAACAATGTAAAGATTCTTGACCAATTCCTTAGAGCTGACGTCCCTTCATTTGCATTTTGAATTTTCAAATATCTTTATAACTCAGAAAATACAATTCAAAATCTATTTCTTTCTTCACAGAAGTGCTTGGCTGCAGCGTGTCACCTATCGTTTTAAAGTGATTTTCTAAAAGGTTTCGTGTGCACTTTAGTTAACATTCATAATAAATTACCTCACAGGTAGCTGAGTTTATCGTCTTTCTCAACACCCAAACCGATACGAGAAACACTCCAGACACTTTCCATGCGATTGGGTTTGGTTTGGGGGCGCACATCGCAGGGTATGCTGGGACAAGGCTTCAAAGGATAACTGGCTCAATGATTGGTCGTATAACAGGTATTTCAAGACACCTATTCAATGATATTGATAAAGGGATTTCTCGTAATGTTTTTCTACACAGAAATATGCAGAAATTATGTTCATTTTGTCTCTTATTTCAAG